CACACAGGATTCCCCACCAGATGCTGCTCTTTACAGGACCACAGCTGCTTCCTGTCCTGCCATATCCTGGAGCTGCCTGACAGACAGACTGTCTCGCTTGAATGCAGAAGTTACTTCTACCACAATTTGCACAATCACTCCTGGGGCTGAAGATGTGGTTTAAGCCTAAGACTTTCAAGCTGCTATTAATACAGGGCAGCACTCAGGCCAATTATCTCGTCCACTGCTACCGCTGGAGACAAATTCTTTGCATCTCCGGAGGACTGCCTCTCAGATAGAAACAGACATTTTATTTCTGATTCTGACAGGAAAAAGAAAAAAAAAAAAAAGCCAACTATTACACAGAACGCCTTCCAAGAGACTCCTAGATCCTTACTAAAACTCAAAGTCCAGTGTTATAAAGCAGTTTTGTAATTAAATTAAACTCTTACCAGATGACACTGACAGAAAAGAAAGACGCAAATGTTTTTTCTTTACTCAACTAATAGAGATGAGACAAGGTCCCTGCAAAGGTTCCATCAAGAAGCATTAAGCCGCAAGAGGAACGTTCAGGACGTTACAAAGACCAAGCTAGTAAAATTTGCCCTGAGGGCTCCCTTTGACTAAATACCTTGAGACCAAGAAAGAGGGACAGAATGTTGACTCTGATAGTATACAATTATTCCCTGCTGGTCTCCTTTGTCTTTGCTCTGATCCTGGAAGGAATTCAAGGTGAGAAAACTCAGGCAGAGAGTTGCAGGAGGACCCCTCTAAGTACTTCCCTGACACTTGCAGGAAACTTTGCAGCTGCCAGTGACCAGAATAAAATACAAGCATGATGAGTTAATGTGCCTGGTGACATCCTGACAGAGCAGAAACCTCGGGGCTCATAAATCACCAGTCAGCGCAATTAAGCTTCCCTAGAACTGGTTTTGAGCAGACATAAAATAAGAGGCCCAGGAGATCTGGAGCTAACAAGCTTCACAGGCTTTCCAAAGCCCTTTACTGGGGAAAAAGAATACCCCTGCACCCTCAGCTCAAAGGTAGAAAGGTTTCGGCTTTAAGTAGGAAGACTTCTTCCGCGATCCTTTGCTCAAAAGATCAGGCCGGCTCAAAGGTCAACACATCTCAACTACCCTAACAACACACACAGGTCCATCAGATCACACTTCTTGAGCTTCAAGACCCTGAGGCCCTCCCCACTCCCTAAACCTGGGCTCTCTCTCCTATCTAGCCAAATCCCAGTCCAAACTAGACCCATGGCCAAGGTGTGGCATTCTTATCAAGTCCATATTTCAGTGTGCGTTGGCTACCCACCCTCTCCCAACCTTCCTTTCCTAGCGAATCTCAGTGGGTCTCCTACACCTTGTAGGCTAGTTTGGCTCTTTGGCGGAGGCTGGGGGAGGGGTGGGGGGGTGGGAGGAGAGCTGAACTTGGGATCTTCCCACATTCCTCCTTCCCAGCAGAGGCTTCCACCTCTCCATTATGTAGTTTTCACTCCCTTTCCTAACGTGACTCAAGGAAGATGTCTTCCCAAGACGGCGGGATGGGGTAGCCACACTTCCCCCTCAGTTGAAGTCGCTTCTCTCCCCGACACTGGGGGTCTCCCTGACTGCGTCTGGTTCAGTTCCTTTCCCTAGCAGGGTCCAGCCAGAGGGGCGACACCCGGGGAGTTAGAGGGTCCCACCACTTCTCGCCAAGCTACAGAGCCCCGCCCCCTCCTCAGTTACACCTGCTGCTAGTCCCGCCCCACAGACACTACGATAGGCCAGCCCTCAGAGCCCATTCTTCCATTGGGCAGACAGCCTGTCTCTTCTACGCCACGTCTCCCGGCTCCAGCGAAAGAGGCCCGGGCCGCGGCCTATGGCACTAGAGAGAATTGAGTTGGGGGCTGTACCTGGAAGGGGTTTACGTCCACTGGGTCTGCGAAGGGGTTGGTGTCGAAGGACGACATGGCGGTCGGGGGCGGACGAGCGAGCTCCGCCAACGCTTCTGCCTCCGGGCACCCAGACCCAGCGGCGCTCTCGGTGCAGACCCTCCACTTCCGGGAGCGAGGCAGCCGTTCTGGCGCAGGCGCGGCGCCCTCTTAGGGGGCGTGGTCCTTGACGTCACAGAGATCCGCCCCGCCCTCCCGTGCAGTACACTACAGAGCGGCCGGTGGGCGTTCGGCTTCTATTTGTTCCGTACCTTCCATTGCTCTTTATCGGAGCTCACTTGTGCTCCGCACTGGGGACGGCACCCAGGCTCGAGGGAGCGGGAGCCGGAGACGTTATCAGTAGCCTCTCCAACTTCCTCTTTCCAACTTCGTTTTGGAAAATTCCCAAGTAAACTCTGCTAAGTGGAGTCGGAAAGTTAAATCCTTAATTTCCCTCGAGGGCAAGTTTGTAAAGTCGCACTGGTCCAGGCAGGAGACAAGTGTTGGACCATTTCGGCGGGAGTGGGGAACGGAGTTCCTGACCCGAAAGGACTTCGCTGAGCTAGGCGAGGATTCTGGTGGTAGAGCCCAGCAGAGGGGTTCTTCTTGGAAGAACCGACCATGCATCTGTCCCACACAGGTGCTGAGCCCTGATTCTTTTTAGGTCTTGCCCTCTGGGGTCAAGTTTTATCGATTTAGTGATGAGGATCCCTGAGCCCAAGACTGTTTTAGGGTCTGAGATGGGATTTGAATCTGGACATCAAGCATTTGTTAAATGAATGAGGGATTTCAGCAATGGGGGAGATGCTCTCCACTACCCTTATTTCTTCATACTCTTCTGCTTCGTTCATTTGTGCTGCCACCGAATCCAGTCACTATCATTCCTTACCCAGCTCTGGTACAGAGCTGCTAATTGGTCTATTGTTGTTTATGTTGTAACCAAAGATCGCTTTAAAGGGAACAAAATACTATAAAAATATTATTATAACAATACCATTTATTTAAAATATTATTATAAAACATTATTATAAAAGTGTTATTATAAAATAATATCATATTATTTTAAACATTACTGCTTAAAGTCCTTCAATTATTTTCCTTAAAGGCCCCAATTCTTGTATGGCCTCTAGGTCCATTAGGACCCGCACCTATCCAGCCCTGCTAGTGGATTTTCAGTTCCTCAAACTTCCCTTGTTCCCTCCTACCTGGGAACCTTTGCCCATAAAGTTCCCTATTCCTGCTATGCTTTTAGCCCATGCTCTCATCAACCCTAGTTAACCCCTACTTATCCTTTTATCCAAGCTCAGATACCCCATCTTCAGGAGTGGCCTCTCCACTCTATAGGTTAGATCACCTCCGCCCACCACAACAAATGCTTATATTACCTTGTAGTTTTGCTTCATAAGAGGTATTGCAAATTGTAAGTATATATGCGTATTAGTGGTTATCTGTTTATGTCTATCTCTCCCACTAGACTATAAACTCCACAAGGGCAGGAGTAGGGTCTATTTTGCTCACTGTTACATTTCTGGCACTAACATAGTACCAAGAACATGATAGGTAATAAGTAAATATTTACTGTTTACCTCACCCACTTTTCTTACCTTCCTCTTTACTGTCTAAATTCCAGCTTCTCCCAGAAGGCTCATTTGGCTGGGGGAGTGGGGATGAGGAGAAGGAGAGGTATTCAAAGGTAGGAGGTTTGTGAGATGTGCTGTTTGTAGGATTCTTGTATTTTCCGTTTTATTATTCCTTAGTGTATGCTGAAGCTTCCTGTGAAGTGCAGGCTGATTTATCTGAGCCAGGGGACCCTAGGGGAGGGGGATGTCCACAGCCAGGCAGAACATTTCAGAGAAAACAGCACTTCTTCTTTCCGCTGGGCATGTGAGGTAGAGATTGTGCAAATTGGGGAAGGGGCAGAGGGAAGCACAATCAGGACTCTAGTCCCTCATTCCAGGTATCTCAACTGGCTGCCCTCCTCCTGGGCTGCTGACTGAGGTCCAGATGTCAGGGCCTACTTCCAGAGGATTTAGCAACATTACTCCCCAAACAAGGCCCAGCTCAACCTTCAGCGTGCAGAGCTCCAGGCGATTCTCTCTGGCTTGTGTGTGTGTGACATGTGAGCAGCTCAGCCTGGAGGAGCGACTGGGGTTTTGCGTCTGCAGTACTTAGGGCAGGGAGGATCAGAGGAGCACCAAGCACTGACTGCCTTCCTGCACCTCACACCATCTCATCTCACTCTCCCACACACCTGTCAGGCTGACATTGTTATCTCCATTTTATAGAGGAAGAAACTGACATTGAGGTGGTTAAGGGCCTTGCATGTGACATTTACCATCATCAAGCATCAGTGAGTCCCTACTTAGATCACAGCAATTCTTTGCTACTGACTGAACTACTCAGTAAAACCTGACGTTCTCACAATAGCCTGCGAAGTTCTGCCCACTGCCCTTCTTCTCTGACCACCCCAGGTGTACCCTGCACCCACGCACATGCTCACTCTGCTCCACACACACATTGGCCTCTCTGCTCTTTACTCCAGAATAGGACAGGCACATTCCCAGGTGCTCAAGTTCCCATCGTGGAGTCTTTGCTCAAGCTATTTCTTCTGCCAGAACATTCCTCCTCACCTCTAAGTCTGTGCTCAAGCCTCCCCTCCTCAGTGAGACCAAGACATTTAAAATTCTGCAAACAGCTTCCCACTCTCACCCCCCCTTACTTTCTGTGGCACTTATCTTTCAACATACCATATGATTTACTTATTTATTATACTTATTTATTTGCCCGTTTTCCCTTCACCAGAATATAAGCTCTATAAAGGCAAAGGGATCTTTGTCTTGCTCTCGGCTGTATCGTCAGCCCATGGCATTTTGCCAGTGCTCAGTAAATTTGTGTCCGGTGAAAGAACGAACGAATGAATACTGAGACCCAGGACTGCGGGCGGGAAGTCTCTGGGCTGCTGGAGGCTCCTTCCTCGTGACAGCTGGAGTCAGAAAAGGTGTTCGGAGTTCGGGGAGTGTTCTCGCAAAGCGCACGAGCCTCCAAGAAGGCTCTCGAGGAACTACATTTCCCATGAAGCTCTGGGAGCAGTAGGGCCGCGGGTGCTGACGGGAAGGGCATACGTGCCAGAAGCCTGGGCCGGTACCCGGAGGATGGCGGTTCAGAAAGGTGGGCTGCGGACTGGGGTGCTGACGGGAACGTGGGGGTGGGTTGCGTCGCGGGGATCTTTCCCGACCTGATATGCCAGGTGGGACCCAGGCTTGTGACTCTGCGGAAAGACGGATGGGCTCTGGTCAGAGGAGGGGGCACCTGCGATAGGGATTGAGCCATTATTTCAGCGCTCGCAGGAGGGTCTTGAGGGGAGGAGCCGCGCGTGGGTCACTTCGAGACGGCGTGTCCTGTAAGAGGTTCCTCCCGCTCCCTCCCCGTCCCTCCACACAACTGTCTCCCTCACGTCTGCGGAGAAGCCTTACTGTCCGCTTTACAGATGGGAACATCTCGCCTGCGGAGAAGGGTCCCAACAACCTACAGACCCCTTATTTGACTTTGTCCCCCAGACAGAACCCTCAGCCCGTGTCTAGTTTTCCCAAGACCGTAGGGTCAGGCCTCAGGAGTGGAGTGGAAGCTGACCCACTGTTTCTGCTCCCCTGCCCCCAGTATTCCCGCTTTCCTGTACGGTGCAGCACTATGCCTGGGGGAAGATGGGTTCCAGCAGTGAAGTGGCTCGGCTGCTGGCCAGCAGTGACCCACAGGCCCAGATCTCAGAGGACAAGCCATATGCGGAGGTGAGACCCGGGTTGTATTTCACCTTATATATATTTTTAAATTTTATTTATTTATTAGAGAGCGCAGAGTGTGAGAGAGCAGGAGTTGGGAGGGGCAGAGGGAGAGAAGCCGTCTCCTTGCTGAGTGGGGAGCCCAAGGCAGGGCTCCATCCCAGGCAATGACAGAGCCGCCCAGGAGCCCCTGTATTTCACTTTAACAGCAGGTGAGACCAAGGGATTTCTCCATTCAGAGGGCCTGGGGTAAGTCATGTGGATCAGCTGGGAGAGGGAAGCAGCAAAGAGGCAGGAGGCTATTCTTGGCTCTTCAGATCCCAGAAAGTGATGAATCCAGATGGCAGCACCAAAAGAAGAGAGGTTTTGTCATCATAGGCCGATTTCTGGTACCCTCTCCCCGCCCCCTGCCCCAAGAACTCTCAGCACTTACTGAATTTTAATTCAACCCTCTTGGACAATTAAAAGTTTTACTTTGACTAGGTTTTACATTTTAATAGCCTAATATATGTATTTTTCTTGCTCATTTAGGTGAGATAAAGCCAAAGCATAGTAAGGCCTCCACTTTTGAGATTGAAATAAGTGAATGTTAACACTTCCCAGAGCCATCGGAGAGAGATTTTTAGTGACCTTGACAGTGCAGGTGTCATTCTCATTGGACAGATGAGAACATTGAGACCGACTGACTCGAAGTAATTAGCCCAGGCCTCCACATCTGGTTGCAGGCAGAGCCTGAACTGGGTCTCTGCACTACTGGTGTCCTGGGGTCTGCTGCTTTCCTGTATGCCTGTGATGGCATGAACATTTATACCCAGGCATGGGAGGCTCCATTCAGGATTCAGGTTGGTGGTGCCAGGTTCTTCCTCTTTCCCTCTCAAGTTTCCTGTTTTTCCAGTTGTGGATGGGGTCCCACCCCCGGGGAGATGCCAAGATCCTCGACAATCGCTTCTCACAGAAGACCCTAAGCCAGTGGATCTCTGAGAACCAGGACTGCTTGGGCTCAAAGGTCAAGGAGACCTTTGATGGCAAGCTGCCCTTCCTCTTCAAAGTACTATCGGTTGAAACGGCGCTGTCCATCCAGGCACACCCTAACAAGGTATAGGACCAGAGTGGGGTGCAGAGGTCAAGGTACAGCAGAACTCATGTCAAGGCCCTCCCCCTACTTTTACTGCTGCGTTTTACCCCACCCACGCTTCACTCCAGCCCAAAGCTAAATCCAGGCCTAACGACTCCCAATTTAGCTCTGGAAGGCTGGATGCTGGTGACACAGGTTGGCAGCTAAGTCTCAGTGGACAGCTGACCAGCCTGTGTCAGAGAGCTGCTTCATGCCCTTCCCTGGGTTCCCCTTATGCAACCCAGGACTATTCATATCTGCTGTTTTCCCCGCTGGCTCTCTAGGAGAGTTCACCTTCCAGAGCAGGGAATGCATCCTAGCTGCTGCCTCAGCTCCTAGGCATTTGTCTATCCAAACTTGTCATTTCTAGAAGGCAGAGTAAGACCCAGGAAGACAGGGATATAGCCAGAGTCACACTGCTTGTTCGTGTCCGAGCTTGGCTTGGTGTTTGGGCTTCCTGATTTCCAGTCCAGGCCTCTTAAAGTCTCCCCCAGATTTGGCCTGTGTTCCTGCCCTGGTTTGAGTGAACCCTGAGTTTCTACATTATGCCCTGACTGGGCTCATTGCTGAAAGTATGAAGCCAACTGCTGTCTGGCGACTTGGGAGGGTGGAGAGCAAGGGCCGGGTGGGACTGGTGTCCTGCTAGGTGATGACTGCACCTTGACCATCCTCCTCTTCTCCTGGCCACCCCACAGGAGCTGGCAGAGAAACTGCATCTGCAGGCTCCACAGCACTACCCTGATGCCAACCATAAGCCAGAGATGGCCATTGCCCTCACCTCCTTCCAGGGCTTGTGTGGCTTCCGGCCCATCGAGGAAATTGTGACGTTTCTGACAAGTAAGGTTGGGCAAAATGCTAGAACATGCATACTGGGCCTATGATGCATGGGCAACCCCAGGCAGAGCTGGAACAGTGGCAGAGAACAGAGGCTAAGTGTCACAGGAAGTGAGGGGCTGGTTGGCCCGATGAATTCTTGAAGCCATGGAGTGGGCCTGTGAGACCAGGCTCAGGTGTGCTTGCTGAGGCTGGTGCTGAGCAGTCGGTTTTCACCTCCGAGTTTGCTTAGCACTGTGTGGCTCCTTGGTGAGGGATGTGATGGGGAGGCCTCCTCAGACTTCCTGCTTCTTTGGGTTCCATCTTGTTGGTCCTGACATGGGCCCTGGCCTGGCCTTCCTGCAGAGGTGCCTGAGTTCCAGTTTCTGATTGGAGATAATGCAGTGGCACAGCTGAAGCAGAGCTCTAGCAGTGACTCCCAGTCGGCGGCCTCAGCTCTGCAGAGCTGTTTCTCCCACCTGATGAAGAGTGAGAAGAAGGTGGTGGTGGAGCAGCTCAACCTGTTGGTGAAGCGGATCTCCCAGCAAGGTGGGTGTGGTGGGCCTGGGTGCAGTGCCCTGTCCTGCCTGGCCCCAGCGCAGACACTAGTCTGTGGAGCTTTGGCTCAAGTAGAACACCAAAATGGGCCTTAGATGACTTAGATGGGCTGTTAGCAATGGGCATTTCCGTCATTGTGGAGTAGGGCCCTTAGCTGAGTGCTGCTTCCTAACTGGCTCTAGAGGGCTGGAGACAGATGGGCTGGGACGACTGTTAGGAGGTCTTACCACCTAGGCATTCTGAGACGTCCTCGGGCCTACAGTTGCTCCCCGTGGTTGGGTTTGTACTTTGGGGCTAGAGAGCAGGAAGGGGACAAGGGAATCCTCATCTCCTTTTCTTGGAAGGCCTGAAGCCCAGAACTTTCGATCAGTAGATCTTTACTTTTTTTTTTTTTTTTTTTGGTGTATATGTATACACATACATACATACACACATTTCCTTAAATACCTGCTCTGTGCCCAACCTTGTGCTAACTAAGGAGAGTTCAGGAAATGACTGTGATGGGTGTGGTTGTCACATTTGCATGGGAAGTCAACACAAGCAAGGCAGGAAGGACTCCAGCTGTGAGCTTGTGGGGCATGCGTGATGAGGCCCTGTCCCCTTCTCTAGGAGACCCCGGAGCTCTTCTGGTTCTCTCTCTACACATTTCGCCTGCTACCTCTGAGCCACAGAGAATTATTTTATCCAAGCGTATCCTTTCTTTTCTTTTCTTTTTTTTTTTTTTTGTTTCGTTTAGTTTTTGGTGTTGTCTCTGCTTCCATGTCTCCCCTTTGGGGCCTCTTGCACTCTCGACAGAACAGATTACTCTTGCCGGGAGCTCCCAGAACCCCTTGTTTCTAGCACCTGTGAGTCTATATCATTACAGACACGCTTGTGACAGCTGGGGTTTTCTCCAGGCTAGGGACTTGGCTCTTTGGCTTTTGTGTGTTTTCAGTACTTAGCACAGAGGTGGTATTCACGTCTTACTGTGAAGACTCAGAACCACCCTCCAATCCAGACCAGCTGGTTTCTTCATTTTGGCACTGACACATTAAGCTTTCATTTACTCATGCCCTCCCCACTTCTCTGCACACTCAACAAATTCCAGCTCACCTCCCTGCCCTCCCCTCATTTCCAAAGCCTTCCCCCACTACTCTAGCCCAGGCTGAGGACACATTTTTGGTCCTGGGCATATTCTGCCTCTTGCTCTCTGGGGTGACCAACTATCTCGATTTGCCTGGGACTTAGTGATTTTCTGAGACACAGTGCTTTCTGGGCTAAAAAAGGGAAGGGCCTAGTCTGTCTGGGACAGTTGTTCACCCCATATGGAACTCTTGGGTTATCCCCTAATAGATCAAGCTCTATAGCAGTGGTTCTCAATCAGGGGACACTGGCACTTGTCTAGAGACATATTGTGGGTAGAGGCCAAAGATGCTTTGAAACATCTACAAAGCACAGGACAGCCCCCACAACAAAGGATTATCTGGCCCCAAACTTTAGCCCTTTCAGTGGCCAGAATAATGCTGGGCATATAGGCAGTCAGAATGGGGAAAATGGCACCTGTATGGGCTGGAAGATCAAGGAAGGCGGGCCCCCAAAGGGTGGGGACGTGGCTGGGAGAACACACCCACCTGTTTCTGGATTTCCCTGGGCAGGGACTTCCCCAGGACTTGATGGCCAGGGTGGGGCTGTGAACACCACTGAGAGTTCCTAAGTGGCCTTGGGGTGCTCTGTGACCATCAGTGGCTGCTGGAAACAATATGGAAGACATCTATGGGGAGCTCTTACTGCAGCTGCACCAGCAGTATCCCGGTGATATTGGATGCTTTGCCATCTACTTCCTGAACCTGCTTACCCTGAAGCCGGGAGAGGCCATGTTTCTGGAGGCTAATGTGCCCCATGCCTACCTGAAAGGAGGTGAGCCACACTTGTGTTTTTTTTTAAAGATTTTATTTATTTGACAGATCACAAGTAGGCAAAGAGGCAGGTGGGGGGATGGGGGGTGGGGGGGGAGTGGAGCAGGCCCCCTGCTGAGCAGAGAGCCCGATGCAGGACCTGATCCCAGGACTCTGGGATCATGACCTGAGCTGAAGACAGGGGCTTTAACCCACTGAGCCACCCAGGTGCCCCTAAGATTTCATTTTTAAGTAATCTCTGTACCCAGTGTGGGGCTTGCACTCACAACCTGAAGATCATCAAGAGCCGCATGCTCCACTGACTGAGGTAGCCAGGTGCCCCAAGGTGAGCCATGTTTTAGCAGCGAGCCCCATTACCAAGCCTTGCTTCCTCATTTAGATAAAAGGGGGAGGGGGAGGTCAAAGAGAGACCTTTAAGGTCCCACCAGGTCTGACCTAGGCTTCCTGGGGTGGGCTGGGTAGTGGCCAGTAGGGATGAAGAATGCCAGCTTAGTGCTGGACACTGCTTGAGTCTTCACACGGACCTGTGAGGTCACGATACTCTCCTGCTACCCTGTCTGCATGTGTGGGAACAATCTGAACCCAGGCTACATTGGATCGAGGCTGTTCTCTCCCCTGCATCACTTCAGCCTGTCTGTCCTATCTATCCAGAAATTTTTGTGAGAAAATACATTTCCACAGAAAGGTGTCACATTTTGACTATTGGCTATTTATCTACTCACAGATAGGATTCCGTGGTAGAATAGTCTGGGGAAGGTTGGGGCTCCCCCAGGGGCTAACATGACGTGACTTACCACCTGTTTTCGGTATCTTAGCCCATTCTCCTGATGGTGCAGTTCACACATTTTTGCATAACTCTGCAGGGGGTTCATGGTCCTCAGGTTAGGAGGCCCAGCCCTGGTGAGCCAAACTCCAAGACATCCTTCATCAAGTTAGCACATGACAACTATCTGTCCCCAGACTGTGTGGAGTGCATGGCGTGTTCAGACAACACGGTTCGTGCTGGCCTGACACCCAAGTTCATTGATGTGCCAACCCTATGTGAGATGCTCAGCTATATCCCCAGCAAGGACAGGCTCTTTCTTCCAACTCGGAGTCAGGAAGACCCCTACCTCTCTATCTACGACCCCCCTGTGCCAGACTTCACTGTCATGAAAATTGAGGTGAGTGGAGGGTGGTGGTGGCTCTGGTGAGTATCTTTCGTATGGCATGAAAAAGCCTGGCAAGGGCCACAGTGTAGAGTACACCTGGGGCAGTGTTCCCTTTCTTTTTTTTTTTTTTTTTTTTTTATTTATTTATTTGACAGAGAGAGATCACAAGTAGACAGAGAAGCAGGCAGAGAGAGAGGGAAGCAGGCTCCCCGCTGAGCAGAGAGTCTGATGCGGGACTCGATCCCAGGACCGTGAGATCATGACCTGAGCCGAAGGCAGCGGCTTAACCCACTGAGCCACCCAGGCGTCCCAGTGTTCCCTTTCTTTTAAGCACACTTGGATGTTGGTGTCGGCGGGGGTGGGGTGGGGTGTGCCACACATGACAGCCACAGCCACAGGGCCTGCCCAGTCCTCCTTGTACCATGGACCAGACATGGGCCTCCATGCTGACAAGAGCCTGAACAGTGGGGGAGAAGGTGGCCACGCTCTCCCTCTCGCTGCCCCTGAGGCTGTCCTGGGCCTCCCCCTGGAAGCTGACAGGCACAGAAAACAAGCTGCACCATCCTGTTGTTTCTTCCTGCCCAGGTCCCCGGCTCCATCACTGAATACAAAGTCTTGGCAGTGGACTCTGCCAGCATCCTACTGGTGGTCCAGGGGAGAGTGACAGCCAGCAGTCCTACAGCCCACACGCCAATCCCTTTGCAGTGCGGTGGGGTGCTTTTCATTGGGGCCAATGAGAGCGTCTCACTGAAGCTCTCTGTGCCCGATGACCTACTGATGTTCCGTGCCTGCTGCCTGCTGTAGAGGCCACAGCCTTCCTGGCTCTCCTCTGACAGTTACCCTAAGTCCTGGCCGGCCTCTCCTCAGGCCCAGCTCCAACCCCGTCCCTGCCCTGGACTTGGGTATGCCCTGGAAGAGCGGGGGTCGAGTAGTGAGCTTGAAGGTAATGACTCCAGAGCAAGCCTTGAATAAACCATTCTTCTACTGGGAGGGCGGCCCTGGTGAAACTCCGCTTGTATTCTCACCGTACCCGAGCCAGGCTCTCCTCAAGGCAGGAGGCGGCAGCTCTGTTCCAGCCCACAGCATTAGGCAGCTGGTAAAAATCTATAATTTGTTCAGCATCACTCACAGCAAGAGGGTAGGTAGTTAATTTCTAAGAACAGGGTTCTGGCCCTGGGACTGCCCATTTCCTCAGCTGCAAAGGAGGGGAAAGAGTAGGCCTGTGGACTAATACTACTCATTGTCACCCTCTGGCTCTGTCAAAGCAATTAAAAGATCACTTGTGTTGAGGCTGTAAGAGCAGTCAGCCTTCAGCGTTCCAGTCCTTGAAGTGGGCTGATCGAGCCTTTCCTGGATTGGACGTCCAGTTTTTGCTTTAATTCCTGCTTCCAACAGCTCCCAAGGTGAGTATGTATAGAGCCCTTTAATAGGAACATATGGGAGGGGCAGCCCACTTCAGCCTTAGTGGCAGAGCTTGCAGATGACCTTGGGTCCTGCAGACGTGGAAGGTGAATCTAAAGACAGGTAGCGCGAGATTCCTTGTTTTCACTTAGCCTCAGGGCAGGGATCAGCCCACCAAGGCCAGCAGGCTGGATCAGACCACACCTGTCCCTTACATTTGGCCCAGCGCTTTCAGGCTACAGTAGCAAAATGGAACCCAACAGACTGTATGCCTGCACAGCCGAAGTAGTGACTGGCCCTTCACAGAGAAAGTTTGTCAGTCACTTCTTTAGAACACGCTCAGTCGCTGTACACTGGGGATTCAGGGACAGGGTGATCCCATTTGTGTTGTGAAGAGAAACCTAGCTAGTTTTTCTAACTTGGAGGGAACTGTACAGAACATCATCTCCCCGTGCTTACCCACCCTCTAGACGTGGATACGCCTCTGCAGGAGGTGGCGCAGCTGTCTGAGGTCCTGTCACCCCAGACTAAGCAGAGCCCCAGGCTGTTCAGGCCTTCCTGCAGAGTAAGGGTTCACACTTGCATAAAAGGATCCTTCTGGGTGGCTGCCCATACTAGACCCCCTGCACCAGGGAAATCTAGCCAACTACCTTCAGAAAAGTTCTGGCCAATTTGTTTTGGGGTTTTTTCTGGCCTCCAGATTTTCTTCAGCTAAAAACAAAAGATGACCTGACAAAAGGAGGGTCTGCCAAAAGGAACACCATCTGGAGAGAAGTGCTGTGCAAAGTCCTGCTCCCTCCAATGGTGCCGGCCTGACAATGGTGCCCACTGGGAACAGCAGGGAGAGGGCGGTCCTATGAGGAATGGCCACAACTGGGGCTGTGAGGGTCCTTTCACAATTCAGAGGGCTGTAGTCTAGGCCTTGCTTTAAAATCCTATGGAACACAGACACAGCTCAACTAGCATGATTGTATTTATTCTTAAAAACTTCCAGAGCTTTAGAAGCCTAAGCCAAGAGTTTTGTAGAGTACTCTGTAAACACCGTACACATATTCCTCTGTGAGGTTAACTGCGAGTACACCCCTCCCCCCGCCGGACACTGTGACCTGCAGATTACCCAGCTCTCTGAATTAAGGCAGTTTGGCTGTAGGCACCTTGGTGCCTTTACTGGTGACATTTTAGCCTGGGACCTCTGGCCCCAAACAACGGACCATTTCTACCCTGCCTATCCCCGTTCTGCAACTTTCCCCACAAAGATAATGTTTTCCACATGGAGTCAACCAGTTCTGGAACGTCATCCAGGAACAGATTCAAATACATCCGTGTTGACTTAAAGTAACAACCATCTGGAGGGCCTTGGTCTTGGGGTCTTGCTGCCACCCTCACCCACAGCTGCTGCTAACTAATTCTGTCCTAACCAACTTCCCCACACAAACGTGGCCCCACTGGGCTTCCTGCCACCACCACCGTCTCTCCACACTGCCCTGCATCTGTGCCCTCTCTTCATGTGCACTCTGGCACCTCTGCAGAAACCATGACAGCCTGAAGACAGTCTTTATGGAGCAGCCCTGGGCTCCTCCTGTCTTTAGAAGCCTGCAGGCACGAGCGCCAAGGGCTCAGCACATGAGGCACCTGCAGTGTGGCACTGCAGAGTCCCAGTCCCAGAACCGTCTGCGTCCCCAATTCCCCAGACCCTGGGGTGCCTGAGGAGGCCTCCGTCCCATCTCCCACCTGCTGTGATGCTACTAGATGAGAAAATGCTAACCACAGCCCCCTGGGTACCATGTATTCTTCTCAACTTTCTATGATTTGACAGAAGCACCAAGATAGAGGCCAATCAAGCACTGACAGGTTACCCTCATCATCTGACCTCAGCCTTCCAATCACCTCATGGTGGTAGAACAAGAGTCCGTGTCAGCCCTCATTTCTCTAGATGCCGCAGGACACTGAATAAATCACCAGATCAGGCACTTCCCGTGTGGCGCCCACACCCCAATCCTGACTACCATGCCCCTTAGGCTGGGAGCTGTGTCCACTCACCTTCAGTTCTCACCACAGCTCTAGATGAGCTGTGCCTCCCCACCCCCAAAAAAGAACCACTGAAAACAAGTCTAGAAAAGACTGGTAGAGCAAGAGAGACCATCTGGGGTGGAGGTGTGGTCACTGGGGGAGATTATGCCTGTCTCAGCTGTGTTCACACAGGGCTGAGGCTGGGGTGCCCCAGAGGTTTACTTGTAAAGCCCAATCCTCCGTATCTAAGGGGAAGCCCTCTGCAATGGCCAATGATCTCCTCAGGCAGGGGCCCTGGGAGCCAGCACGCGTCCCTCCCCCACCATCCTGTGAGCCTCTGCCCACCTCAAAGCCCCACACAGCCCTATTCTCAAGTTTCAGAAGCTAAATAGGAAGGCACCTGACCGATCCCTGCCACTCCCTCTGCTGGTCACCCACACCTGCAGGCTTCCCAGCGAGCTCCAGTCCTTTCACCCAACCTTGACACTCAAAAGACTGGATGTTGAACTAGCTAAGACCAAGGCAAAGAATGGTGACCAGAGAAAGACAAAATAAATAAATATGTACATAGTGGAGCAATTTTTCTCCAACTAGGGGTGGGCTGACCAGTCATTAAACCTGCCCAGACAGTTTAAGCCAGCTGGGGATGGTCCGGGTCCAGGGATTCTGGAAGCCTTGATCCTGCTGTGCCATCAAGCAGCGTGCTGTGTTCCCTGCCAGAGCCAAACAGGTGCAAGGGGAAGAAGGCCAAAGGGCCTTGCTTTATGCTTTCTTGAGGGTCCCATCGTGGAGCCAGGAAGACAGAGCATTGTGGAATTTCTTAAACTGGTCCCAAATAGTTCAGCTATTTTTTTCAAAGGCTCCCAGCTGCAAGCCATAAAGTGCTATTTTCTGCTTCCATACACCACCATCCAACATAGCCAGGGCACAAAAGCTCTCTCCACAGAGCAGGACAAACGCCAGTCAAGATGTCTGAAAGATTTCCTTAGCCAACTCTGTCACCACAAGAAATCAGAATTCCTCTGTTCCTGCCATTATTAAAGTGGTTTTTCCAAACTCTAACAGCAGAGGAAAACTGTAGAATTCCACCTATCACCCCATGGTCCAGACAGGGGCCTCTGGCCTGAGAAGCACCACGTAAGGCGTTAACTGCATGTCACTGACCTTCCAAGAGGGTCAGTGCCTCCAGTGATTCGGGGGATGACTGCACTCCCCACTGCACTCCGTGACCTAAGAAGGGCCCACAGGGCTCTGCAGGACATGGTGAGCAGGGCCCGTCTTAGGGGGTTATGTCTACTGGAGGGTACAGGAAGGAGAGTCCCCAGGACAGCACCAGCAGCAGGAGCACGTTGAAGAGGCCATAGGCTTGGGAGGAATGAGGTCCAAGTCCTCATCATCTGGAATCTCATCCAGGTGATACCCATCCTGGAGCAGCTGCCGGCTCACATCCTGGTTCACCTGCTAAGAACAGAAGAGGAGAGAACTATAAGCCACATGGCAAAGCAGAAATGACTGCTGCCTGAAAGGCACACCTACATGCCCTTACCAGAGCTTCCTGTCCATGCTCCACCCTCAGGCCAACTCCATGCATCCCCGGACTACATGAGGAAGTGTCCCCACCCAGCACAGACGGGCCCCAAGCAGCGTGAGCCAGCACTGTCCTGGCTGCCGTGTCGTTAACCCCCAGGGGAGCTGTTCTCACTGAAGAATCCTAAGGCATCTGATATAAGTATCAGATTCCAGATTATGTTTGAGTCAACAGCCTGACCAGAACGACTGGTCCCTGTGAACACTGAGGAATATGGGACAGTGATAGCAGAACAATGGGGGAGAAGATGAGTTACACAGGATAAGGGTGGGGAGCAGCTCTGTCCCCACTGCTGGTTAAACAAGTTAGCCTTTATGCCAGCAAAGCTTTGTTCTCTGCAAAGTGGAACCTGTCAGCCTTGCTTCACCAGTTCCATTGGGCAGAAGGAAAAGGAGGTCAGGAATAGTATAGAACTTTCTCTGGCTCTTGGCTAATTTTTCTTTTCTTAGTTTAGTCTTAGACACCCAGATATTCAAGGAGGATCAAATTTACAAACTGCTTCTATTCTCTTTGGCAAAAACTCGAGGGGTGGCCAAGGGTTTCCAGAACAAGGAAAACACCAGTGGCGTTCAGTCGTATCTCTAGCACTCTGCCTCTATCTAAGGCAGTCAGCTGCACATGCCACATCTTTCCATCCCTGTGTCTCTGGGACCATCACTCTGGAAATATGTGCAAAAGGCCAGCCCACTGGTATCTCAGTCTGAATTCCCATTGAGGGAACAACTGAAGGAACACAAGTTGTTTGGCCTGAAGAAAAGCTTGGTGGAGGACGGCCATGGGAGGGACAGGAATGTTGATCACAGATAAAAGGCAACCAAAGGAAGGGACACTGGAATTACTGGGTGACACTGGAGGGCAGGCTTAGGACCACTGACTCCATCCTCTAGGAGACACTTCAAATTAATAAGGAAGAATTCTCTAAGAGCTACCTGAAGAAGGAATTTGTGTGTGTTTGTGTATGTGTGTTGGAGGGAAAGCAGGCAGCAAGGCTTCCTGGAGAGAGTAAGTACTCAGTTACAAGAAGCATTCAAGCAAGCAGAGGCTGGTAAACACTTAGGTGGGATTTCTCATGAGGATTCCTTTTCTAAGTGGTTGCCTGGGCTAGAAGACTTGTGAAGTCCTTTGAGCCCTAAAGATCTATGGTCTCTTGGATTTTCAACAGCTTTCCTCAGACACCTATACCTCTGCTGGGGGAGTAAGGCAGAACAGAAGATTGGAGAACAGACCGGAAGTCTGGCACAGTGCCGTGCACACAGCAGGCACAAGACAAGCATTTGGCAGTGGCGGTGACGCTGCCTGCAGCCTGGCCCCGTGCAGAAAGGCGCTCTGGACTTGCCTCTGCAGAGGAATACCCGGAGGAGTATCTGGATTCCAGCTCCCCATCACTAGGAGAAGAGGAAAACAGTCAGTTCAGGGGGATGCCTGTGGAGCGCAGCTGCAAATGGCGAGGTGGAGAGCATGCAAGGGGGTCCGGACGACTTGTGAAACAAAGACCATCACAGAACTCAAACCCAGAATCCGTCCTGAATACCACTGGCTCTTTCCACTGGCTCCAGCAGGGACGGGGTCACTGTCACAAGCAATGAAGCTGTAAGAGGGGAGGATGATTCCCCCACACAAGGTTAGTGCTCCAAATTGAAGGGCAGCATGAGCACCTGAGCCTCTAACCCAGCTATCCTGGGAAGGGATAAGGCCCTGAAGAAGACTGCTCTGGAACATGCATGAAGGGTCTTGGGCAAGATCTGCAGTTTTACCCAAGTCACTCCCCAAGGGATATTTTCAAGGATACCACTCACCTGTCAGAGTCGAGGGACACCAGGTTTTCATCTGGACTCTGACTAAGGGCCGTATAGCCCTTGTTAAACTTCACTGACCTGAGGGTAGACAGGGAAGGGACCAAGCATAGATGAAGCAACAGTTCACAGAGAAGGCCAGAGTCCTTGCCCTTATGGAAGAAGGACTGACTGTAGTACGCCTGTCTGGCCTTCCTGTCACACAGCCACTGCTGCCTGCACTGTACCTGGCGGCAGCCGCTGGGAATATGCACTCCCCACACCACTCCCCCTACTGCTCCTGAGGAAAAGCACACCTACTCTTTCCAGTAGAAGGAAAACTCCCCCACTTCAGCTTAGTTTAACACAGAACAGAAAAACTGCAAGTTCTGGGGGCAAATCTCTTCTCGAGTTTGAGCTCTTACCTATAAGAGGCTCTGGAAAAGGTCTCGCTCAGCCCTCAGACTTTACCATTCTGTTGAAAAAGAAATACAGCACTGGCTGTTCCCACACTGCTTTCTAATTTCACTCTTAGTGAACCCAGCCACTGTGCTGCTCCCAGACAATGATCCTATGCACTAACAAAACTGTTTATCCAAAGCCCTTTTCTTGACATCATTACATCTTTAAAGGAAAAGAAAAGGTCATTCCTCTTCCCATTTTAAAATAGTGAAAAAGACGGGTTGGCGTCAGGTGAATCACTAGCTCGGTCTTAAAACGGGAGAACTGTCTCCCAGCCTGAGGATCAAGGCCTTTTCTGGAAACTGCTTGCACAGAGGAGGTGGCGCCTGCTGAGACCTTTTCGCTGAAGAGTCGGGGCGGTTCGCCGAGGCCCCCAGCATGCCTTTTCTCCGAAGAACAGCCTTGGCCAGATCCCGATGCTTCTCTGGAAGTCAAAGGGCCCGGGTCAGGGTGGTCTTCCCCACTCCGCCGTGTCTCCCCAAACGCCAGGAGCCCGCTTTCTCCGAACAGATTTTCGGGGACGGGAGCGGGCTGCAGCTCCCCCTCCGGGGTCGCCCCGGCGGGACTCCAGAACCTGCCCGGGGAACCAGGTAGCCCGCCCAGGCAGAGACACCCCCCACCGGGCCGCACTCACGCAGCTTGGCCTGAATGGAAGGCGCACGCGTCACCATGTACGGCCCCCTCTTCTCCACAACCGCCGGGAGCCGCTCCCCCAGTCGGGGGACTCCACTGCCGCTTCGCCCGAAAGGCAGCCCCGTAGCTCCCGCTGCGCAGTCCAGGGTCCCGGCGGGGCGCGGTCCCGGGGTAGACATCCATACCCCGGGCCCGCTGGGATCCGCGGTCGCCATGCCCTGGCCACGACCCGCAGCGACGCAGAACCCCGCCTCTTGGTTTACTAGTCGCGGGCAGGGAGGGAGGGAGGCGGTCTTTTCTGAAAAAGATGGCGGCGCGCAGGCGCGGGCCGTATCCGCTTAAGCTTTCCGGGCCCGCCTGCAGAGGGGAAGGCACAATTGTTCCGCACTCCCGGGGGCGGGGCACCTTCAGTTCCGGCTTTTGAGAGACGCTGCGGTAGTTGCAGTCGGCCGGAACCTGGGTATGTCGAAGCCAGTTTGGTGTCCAGTGGAAAGAAAATATCGATATTTATGCAGGGCCGTGGCTCCGCGCGCGCTGGGCGAAGCCCTTTACCCCCTGGCGCGCACGCGCTCTCCGCAGTGTCTCCGAGTGGGTCATCCCGTCACATCCCGAGCTCCCAAAGGCGAGCCCTGGAGAACCTGGGTTGAACCTAAGAGAGCTGTTACGAAGGGAGGAGAAATTAAGCGCCGTTCTCCAGGAAACGAAACAGGTCGGAGAGGTTCAAGGCCTTTGAGCCCGTCGGACACTAGAGACATTGCGGGCGCTGATCCATCTAACATCAAACCCACGTTATTTCCAACACAACTTGGTACCCGCCTCTCTCTAACCCTCAGTTCACACATTTTTAAATGGAGCCAATATCACTGCCTGTTGTACAGCGAAAATAAAAGAAGGGTGAAAGTGCACTGAGTCTGTGTGTGGTAGGGCACGGGGCTGTCATGGCTCTTGACTTCTCCCGCCCCCAAGGGATGTGCTGGTGGCTGGCTGGAAAGAAGTTCACATCCTTGTAGGAACTGCCAAATCCCATGAGGCTGCCACAGGCTAATTGATTGGCCTCCACGGAGTAGATCAACAATATGCAATTTTGAGTCCCCAGGGCCACCCAAACAGTGGAGCAGGAGGACTATGCCTTAGGCAGGATAGGGAAAAAAAAATTTAGCACTGGAGTTTTTGAAAAATCAGAAGCACAGAAGCATGTTAACTATTCTGGTAGATTACACTCTTTAAAAACAAATTACTTATTTTAGAGAAAAAGCATGAGCAGGAGGAGCAGAGCGAGAGGGAGAGAGAACCCCAAGCAGACTCCCTGCTGAGCACAAAGTGAGAAGTGGGGCCTATCCCACAACCCTGAGATCATGACCAAGCGGAAACCAAGAGTCCTTTGTCTAATGGACTGTGCCACCCAGGCGCCCGGACCCCTGTTTTAGACGTCCAGAAACAGCAATTTCATATAGCTCAACTTAAAAGTAAGCTCCAGGCCTAGTGTGGAGTGCTTTTACCGAGTTGAACTCAGGACCTCTAGACTACGACCTGAGCTGAGATGAAGACTTGAACTAAAATCAAGACTCCACCTCTTAATGGACTGAGCCACCCAGGCGCCCCCATATGGCTCAACTTTGTATTGAATTCTCGTGACTTAACGATGTAGCCAGTTCTGAGTCCTATTAGTCAAACGAGGCTGAGACTTGGTCAAATTCACCAGTTAAGTGGGAATCCGGGGATTTAAACCCAGCTCCCTGTGGACTCCGAAGACATGTTTTTCTCATGGCTATGCTGCCTGTTAAACTGATGGGGACTTCACCAGGGGCCAAAGAAAACGTGACCAGAACCCACATGATGTCACAAAATCTCTGGGAACTTTGTAGCAAGACTGTGAATGCCCTCATTTATGTCCCTCCTGGATCTCCCATCATTAATGCTCAGTTACTTGTTATGTGATTGAACATGTTCTGCCACTTACTGGCCAGGTGTTTAATTTCTTTATATCTCCATTTCTTTCGCAGAGGAATGGGGATAATATTACCTATCCAACAGAATTGTGACGTTAAATTGTGAAGTACTCTGAGTGGCACCTCGCATGTAAGAGTTCAAGATATGTAACCTAAGGGGGAATATGCAACTCTTACTTTCAGGGTTGTAAATTCAAGCCCCTGGGTGGGTGCAGAGATTACTTAAAAATAAAATCTTAAAAAGGAAAAAAGTAAACTTAGAAAACTTAGTGTTCTAGGAACTTAGTGTTTATTCTCACTTGGCTTTACACTCCCCAAGGGAGACTGCCTTATTTATTTTGTAACTCTTGTTTTGATCCCTTTCACCTATTTGCCACACCCTGGCAACCACCAATCTGTTGTCTGTATCGATGAGCTTGAGCTTGGTGTTTTGCTGTTTTTATTTATTTTTTAAAAGATTCTTTTTTTGTTTTGTTTTGTTTTTTTGTTTTAGGGGCACCTGAGTGGCTCAGTGGGTTGAGCCTCTGCCTTCGGTTTGGGTCATGATCTCGGGGTCCTGGGATCGAGTCCCACGTCGGGCTCCCTGCTCAGCGGGGAGCCTGCTTCCCTCTCTCTCTCTCTACCTGCCTCTCTGCCTACTTGTGATCTCTCTCTCTGTCAAATAAATAAAATCTTTCTTTAAAAAAAGATTTTATTTATTTATTTGACAGAGAGAGACAAAAGCAAGAGTGGGAACACAAGCAGGGGGTAGTGGGAGAGGGAAAAGCAGGCTTTCTGCCAAGCAGGACTCTGGGATCATGACCTGAGCCGAAGGCAGACCCTTAACCGACTGAGCCACTCAGATGCCCCTATTTTTTTTAAAAAACATTTTTATTTTATTTTTAAAAAGATTTTTATTTATTTGACACACAGAGGGAGAAATCACAAGTAGGCAGAGAGGCAGGCAGAGAGAGAGGGGGGAAGCAGGCTCTCCGCTGACCAGAGAGTCCGATGTGGGACTCGATCCCAGCACCCTGAGATCATGACCCGAGCCGAAGGCAGAGGTTCAACCCACTGAGCCACCCAGGATTTTTTTTTTTTTTTAAGTAATCTTTAAATACTTTTAAATACTTTAAATACTTTTTTTAAAAGTAATCTCTCTGCACCCAATGTGGGGCTCAAACATAGAACCCCGAGATCAAGTTATATGCTCTACCAACTAAGCCAGCCAGGTGCCTGTTTGTTTTTTAGATTATACATACTAGTGAGATCATACAGCATTTGTCTTCCTCTGTCCAACTTATTTCACTTAGCATACTGCCCTCTCAGGCTCCATCCATGTTGTTGCAAATGGCAAGATTTCATTCTTTTTATGACTGAATAGTATGCAATATATATATATATATATATCCCTCAGAATAATATACTGCTCAAAATATAACTTTAGGGCACCTGGGTCGCTCAGTTGGTTAAGCGACTGCCTTTGGCTCTGGTCATGATCCCAGAGTCCCAGGATCGAGTCCCACATTGGGACTGTTTTGCTGTTTTCATTTATTTTTTTAAAAAGATTTTTTTTTTTTAAAGGGCGCCTGGGTGGGTCAGTAGGTTGAGCCTCTGCCTTCGGCTCAGGTCTTGATCTCGGGGTCCTGGGATTGAGTCCCACATCAGGTTCTTTGCTCGCCAGGGAGTCTGTTTCTCCCACTGAGCTCTCTCCTCTCATACTCTCTCTCTCAAATAAATTATATATGTATATATACATATATATATGTGTGTATATATATATCTAAATGATCTCGGGGTCCTGGGATCCCGATGTATATGTATATATACATATACCTACTTATATATGTAGCAATTTTTAAATATATATGTATATATATATTTATATATAAAACTTTAATGAGTTGAATTGGTCATGCAAGCTTCCTTAAAGATGACCTTGAGAAAAACATGTACTAGCAGCAGGCCTCTGGTGGAAGGGACGATACACGTCCTTGAAGCCAAGCAGCTGGGGATGCCCGGCCTGCTCAGGGTGGAATGCGGCCCTGCTTCCCTTTTTCGTGGTCTCCCCTGCTCCAGAGAAAGCCTCGGGTTAAGGTAATCCCTTTAAGTGCGCTTCCAACACTACAAATCCATGCAGCTGGACAGACACACCTTACTCTTCTTATTTACCTGGTTCACCATATGACTCACATTCCTTCTTGTTTGGCTATTGTATAACTTTATTTTCTTCTCCTTTGTTGCTATCTTGTATCTAACCAATAAGGAATTGAGGAGTTGGGGTGACAGTCCTTCCAGCTGTCGTCCCCTGCTCCCTCTTCTCTTGAAGCTGACTTATTCCTGCCTCATTCTTCTTCTATTAGGTCTATTAGGGTCTATTAGGGCCCCCCCCTTTTTTTTTGAATAGAGAGTGTGAATGGGAGGGAGAATCAGAGGGAGAGGGCAAGAAAGAATCTCAAGCAGGCCCCCAGCTCAACGTGGAGCCCAACAGAGGGCTTGATCCCACAACCCTGAGATCATGACCTGTGCTGAAAGCAAAACACTTAACCGAATGCCCACTTTTAAATCAGAGATTTTGTTTTTCTTTCTTTCCTTTTTTTTTTCCCTTTGCTATTGAGTTGTATGAATTCTTCATATATTTTGGCTATTCACCCATTGTCAGATAAATTATTTGCTAAGATTTCCCTCATTCAATAGGTTCCCTTTTCATTTTGTTGATGGTTTTCTTTGCTGTCCAGCTTTTTTTAAAAGTGTTTTTTTTTTTTTTTTTTGTTTTTGTTTTTTTGATCCCGAGACCCTCGGATTATAACCCGAGTGGAAGTCAGACGCTTAAGCAACTGAGCCACCCAGGCGTCCCTTTTTGAGGCCATTGTAAATGGGATTGTTTTCTTAAATTTCTTTCTGATAGTTGTTAGTATATAGAAACAACAAATTTTTGTATATCGACTTTGTACCCTGCAACTTTACCAAACTCATTTATTAGTTCTACCATTTTTTCCTTGGGAGTCTTCAGGGTTATCTATATATAACAGGTTATATGCAAATAGTGACAGTTTTACTTCTACTTTCCAATATGGATGCTTTTTATTATTAGTCTGGCTAGGACTTCCAATACTGTGTTCAATAAAAGTAGTGAGAGTGGGCATCCTTGTCTTGTTCCTGATCTTCCAGCTTTTCACTTTTGAATGTGATGTTAGCTACAGGCTTGTCTTATATGGCCTTTATTATATTGAGGTACGTTCACTCTATACACACTTTGTCCAGGTTTTATCATATATAGATCTTGAGTTTTGTCAGATGCTTTTCCTTCATCTATTGAAATGATCACAGTTTTTATTCTGAATTTG